CAAGCTCTTTAAGAAAACTGGGCAAGGTGAGAACATTTTTAGCAAGACATTCAATTTATTGGTGATACAGCATTAATGCATACGATGAGAAGTGAAGGCCACACACTGTAACTAATAACAGCTTAACCTACTGGAGTTACATCCTAATGGGAGAAGATGGGGGCCTTAGATTATACTGCCATACCAAAAGCATGGAATACTTGAGGTGGCAAAAGGTGACGGGGTTGAAGGGGACTGAGGGGAGGCTTAGTGATGCAATAAACCTATAGGACGTACAGGTCTAACTTCTTCTAGGCAAGAGCTCAGCCAACTATGGCCTACGGGGCAAATCGAGCGGCTGCCTGTTCACACCATGAGTCTAGATCAGCTTTTGCACTTTTAAATGGTTGAAAAATAATAAAAACCTATTTCATGGCATATCAAAATTATATGAAATGCAAACGTCTGTATCCGCAGAGTTTTATTGGAACACATGCCCATTCACTTATGCCTACGGCTGCTTTCTAGATACACAGAGGTCAACAGATGTGACAGAGGCCTGGGTGGGCAGAAAAGTTGACAGTATTTAGTATCTTGACCTTTACAGAAAGTTTGCAGACCTCTGTTCTAGGCCATAAAATAACATTTTTGAATGGCTCACAGCTCCAAATCTGTGCATGCTTGTCTGACCCGAAATATCCAGGATTCAGATAAAACCTGCCAGACTAACAGAGAGAGAATGCAACGCCCCCCAACCCCCAGTGTTAACAACAGTGGACAGGTCTAATAGGTCCTATAGATGCTGATGTATCTGCCCACGGTAATCAGAAAAATGTGAAAGGCTTTTCCAAGTTGAAAGTAGGATGGTCCCAGAAGGTTTATATGGGAATGAGTATGACTAAAGGTTTTCTGTTTGAAAGAATGTATTAGCTATTTCCTTCTAAAGACAAGGCTGAAACCATCCTCAAAATGGCTACCACCTTTGAGCATTTACTAGGAGCCTAGGACTGAGCAAAGCTTTTTTCTTTTATTATCTTACTTAATAATCATCTCCTCCAGATTCAGAGAGGCTGACTGGCTCAAACTGAACAGAGCCAGAAAGCTCAGGAAATGGGAGTCAACCTGTTGGCTAAGCCTAGGAGTCTAAAGCTTGAATTCACAACCACTCCTCCACTTGAAAGCAGAAGGCATGAAAGTTCACCATGAACAAATGACAGGAAAATGGAAAGGCAATGAAACAGTGGAAGCAAGTCTATTTTATGGCCATGAGCATTTTAAGTATTTTATTCATGAATCACTCTCCTTTTACTCAAAATACCCTCTCTTTCTTCAATGTTTAAAGAAAGGAAGATAAAATTCATTCCTTCCAGATTCTTTTTCCTGTTGAGAAAAATCAATGCAGGTACCCAATTGTGTAAACATTTTAAAGATGTCAGAATTAGACACTAATAAAATCCCTGGAGTACCTGTGAGAATCCCAAAAAGGAGAGGGATAAGCAAACATTTTTAAAGGCAATGCACTAAAAACTACATGTACAATTTTAAAATTTAGATTAAGATTTTTCATTTCAATTACAAGTAAAGAGCAAAAGTTAAATGGAATCTTACCCAAATGGAGAGCTAACGATGCTGGGCAGCTATTGTTTCCTTCTGCCCAGCATCCATGTCCTCCACCTGCCAACTGTATCACGATTTTCCTTCAATTTCCCCCTAAATGTCTACAATATAAAGACTGCTTGATCCTAACTCATTTTTGAAAACCTGATTTTAAAAAAGAGTCTCATTAATATTTTCTACCATACTTATTTGAAAATAATGCACATTACACTCAGATGTTTATTGATGGTGACCCACATCTAGCTTGCAAGTCCTTCCTCTGGGCCAAATGAATGGCTCAGGGTTTTGTAAAGGCAACTTCAGGCTAGCCTCCCAACACCTTTACTAGGTACGCTTTATCCAGATGAGGAACTGACCGTCAGGCAGACTAAGTAGCTACAGTGAATAAAAGATTTCAGATTTGAACTTAAATGTGTTTTGACTCAAAAATTGTGTTTTTCTCATCAATCTCTGCTGTCTAGCCAAGGAACAAACACATTTTCTTAGAATAAATACTTCCCAGTCAAATTTCAGATTTGCTGGAGAGCAATAAATAAGACAATGCAGCTCAATGAACCATTTGCTCTATGGGCTGGTTGTCAGTCTCAGGACTGCTTATCCTCCATCAATCTATCTGGTCTAAATTCTCAAATAAAATCTTAAAACAGCCACCGTGCACCCAGGACTAGCATGCCAAGCCTTTTATGTGTGTGTATGGCTTATCAACAAGCAGGCAATGTTTTGCCATGGGAACAAAATGGAAGAGCTTTTGCACCTGACATCAGAACATACTGGAACACATGCACCATTCACTTATGCCTATGGCTGAAGACAACTTGAAAATCAAGTGCTAAGCACAGATGCACCTCTTACTTTTTTTCTTTTAAGAATTACTCTAACTCCCTATTAATTCTAGAATAAGAATTATTCTAACTCATTTGTTTAATAAAAATGTGTACCTCTGTTTGGGGCCTAGGACCTTTTTTAATAACAACTATAGACCCTCTCCCCAGAAAAATACACATCCACAAAAAGTTTTCGTCACAAGTAAAGAGGGTTCAGGAATCTCTGAAAGCCCATTTATAGACCCCTGGAGGTCCATAACAAGGAAAACCCTTGCTCTAAAAGCATAGTGCAGAAATGCCTAAGTCATCTCACAGGACCAGAGAGAAGACCATATAGCCAGCTCTCATCATCCTTTACAGTTTCTGAAGGTCAATATTAAAGAAACACTCAAATGTACTTCCTTAACTAGACTCTCATACTCTCAAAGAATCCAGGAATCTAAGAACTTGAGCAAATCAGCAAATCTAAGGTCATATAAATCAAAGTCCAAATCAGTTTTGTTATAGTTTAAAATTTGCTACCTCTTTCTGCCCACAGAGATGTCCCTAGAAAAGAAAGAAACAATATTATAGCTTAGGGCTTGAGTCCTTCCTATTTCAACATTCATGAATGGGTTAATATATAATTGATTATAGAAAAAAGGCCACTTCTAAAACTTATTAATAAGATATTCTTTCACTATAGATATGAAAGGAAACCAATTAAAAGAATTCTTAAATGCTCAACACATAGATGTGTCAATGTAATTGCGAGTTAAATTATGTGGCTGACAAAGCAGATTTTTTTAAATTCATAAAGGCTCAAAGTTCTCATGTGTTTCCCATGACTTAAGTCAAGAAGTTTCAGGAATGTTTACTTGCAGGTATATCTCAAACTTTACAGTCTTTCCAATCTCCCTTGGTATTATTACCTTAAAAAATTTCTTACATTATCCAACAAAATTTAAGTTACAAAATGAACTTATAAAAGTGGGCTGTAATCTAGGAATAACTGATAGAAAGTCTCATGAAAATTTAACAGTTAGAAAGGGCAATCTTACTTTCCTATGAATATTAAACATTGTTTTAAGTCACCACATGCTGTTTTAAAATCAGTACACGGTAAAACCAAGTAACAAGTACCTTAAAAAGAATGTAACTTGCCAGTTACCTTTTAGACAAAAATCCCCACCAAAATGCCACTTGGGATAGAGAGATAACCAATTTACATATTCAATTCACAGTTTGTAGTATTATAGATTTAAAGTAATTGTTTTGGTTACAGTATCTTCTCTCCTTCTAAAACCAAGAAAATGAACAGGGCCTGATACCCCAGCACAGCCAGTGTTTAGACCAATATTACTTCAAAGTCACAGAGGTTTCATACCCTGGGGGGAAGGCAGGTTGTACCTGAGAATCTTCATTCAAAGTTTAGGGGAAAAAAAATATTTAACCTTTGTGCCAAGAAGTCAAAGGCGCTAATTCTTGAAAGCAGCGTTGGAGAGCATTATTGAAGTTTCGACCTCACATAAATGAAATTTTACATATACTGATTTCTGGCTAAAGGTTAAACACACTTCATTGTCATATATTTACATTTATAACTCTTCCTCTTGGAAAGAACTGAGAGAAAGCAGGGAGAATGAACCCAACTTCGGTAAGGACATTGAAATAACCAAATGCCATCCTACATATTGGCTTCACCCCGGATATGAAGAGCCAGGGCACTTTGGAGGAGGGGAGGGAAGGGTTGAAAAATTGGAAAATAATTCCAATGCTCAGTAAAACATCAAACCTGGGTTCAAAACGCAGACACTCTTCTTGCAGTGAACTGAAATTATCCATCGCACTGGAGATCAAATCAGCTCTACTGTTCTAGTTTCCTCCCGCCTCTCACTACCTAAAAGGTGCCATTTACGACAAACTCACCAAAGTTGAATCAAAGTGACTTTTGGGAAGAGATGCCAATATAATCTACAGTGTGCCCCGGAAATGTGTAACTTCTACACACAGGCAACGTTTCTCATTAAGCACCCCCTCCCCCTTCACTTTCAACTTCCCCTTAACATGGGGACAGTCACATAGACATTTTTTTTAAATCAAAGACAAAAATAAATAAATAAATAAAAGCACCCCATCCCAAGGACCGACAAGACTCCGGCGCCCGGTGGGGACGACGGGCACAGTGCGTCCCGTCAGTCCGCGACGTCTGCCGGAGGCCGACAAGTTTCTCAACCCCCCTTCCCGGCACCCGCCAGAACCCAGGCGAGAACGGGGGTGGGGGTGCCTCCGGGGCCGGAACCGCGCGACCTGGAACCCGGAGCCTTTCTGGCCCGCCGGCCGCACCCGGCGCTAGTGCCGGCGCTCGGGACCCGCTGGGCGCCAACTCCGCGGGGACCCCCGCGCCGCGCCCCCTCGGCGCCCTAGTCCCGCGTCTCCCGGGCCCGGCCGGCTCCAGGCGCCCCCAACCCCCAGGGCAGCGAGCCCACCGCCCCCTGCTGCGGCGGCCGGGACGGATGCCTGGGGCCACGGTCCCCTTCCCCGCGGAGGCGAGGGCCCGGCCCCCGGCCCCCTGCCCTGGCGGCAGCCGGGCGAGCTCACCTGGCGGCCGGCGGCGGCCTCCGGGGCGGCCTCTGGGTGTGGGCCGGGCGGGGGCGGCGGGGGGGCGGCCGGGGCCGCGACTGCGGCCGGGTCGCCGCCGCCCGCCTGGCTTCGCCCCCACGCGCGCCGGCCGCGGCCGCCCCCGGGGAGTGCGGGGAGCGCGGGGAGCGTGGGTCCCGCGGCGGCGGCGGCGCGGCGCGGCGCGGCTCAGGCGTCGGAGCGGGCGGCCGCGGGCGCCGCCGCCTCCTCCTCCATGGCTGTTTACCCGGCTGCATTGTGGGAGTTTGACCTCCGCCGCCGCCAACCGCCGCCTCAGCTTGCGCCGCCGCCGCCGCTGCCGCCGCGCACGCCATGGGAGCCGTGACTGACGGTGAGACCCGGTCGCCGCCACCCCGGCCCGCTCCCCGCAGCCCCTAGGCCTCCCCGGCCGCTTCCGGGAGACCCGGGCGCTCCCGGCCGCCTCCCCCGAGCCCCTCGGCCTCTCCCCGGAGCCCAGCGATCTGCTCGGCCCGCTCTCCGGAGGCCGCGCCGAGCCTAGGCAGCATGTGCAAGAGGTCGTCGGGGGCTGGGGTACGCGGGGGGCCCGAGAAGCCTGCAAGCGGGGCGTGACCGGGGGGTACCCGGAAGGGCTCCAGGCTGTGGGAGTGTGTGGTGACCGAGCACTTGGGTGGGGATGGTGGGGTCCGAGGAGCAGCCAAGGAGAGGCAGTGGTGGAGCCCTGGAGCCGCGGAGTTAGGACTGGGAGTGGGAACTCCAGCGATGGGCCAGGGGCTTGGGGCCGAGCCGGGAGGAAGGGAGGTTCCACGGCCAGAGAAGTAGCGGCGTTAGCGTACAGAGGGTGACACCTGGAGGAGTCCTCTGGAGAGACTGGAAAGGGCCCCCGGACAGTGGGCTGAGCCCAATGAGGCCCGAGAACCAGCCCCGCGTTGGGGGTAGGGAGAGGGAGCTGGGAACAGGATCTACAAAGAACAGATGTACGGGCTGTTGAGTACAAACAGGGAGTGTGCATAGGGGATTTATGAGAGCCAGTATAAGGGATGGGGCTGCCTAGGGTAGATCAGGACAGCAAAAGATGTGTTTGTGTCTATGTCTTGGGGAGGGTGCTTTGACCTCTGGTACTGGGGGATCTAGGGGCTTTGGGTCTGTTTTGAAGAGGGGGTGACCAGTAGCGTAGATGCCTGTGAAGAGACAGACCACTTCTAAAAGTTAGGGACAGAGAGGGTCTTCAAATTAAGGGGCAGGCAATGGGAAGAAGAGTATTAGGCCCACATTTGCGGATGCAATATGGAATAGTGAGGTGGCAGACTCTTCAAGGTCCCGGAACTTCATAGGAATTTAACTTCGCTTCATTCCAATTTTATTTATTTTCAGTAGATACTCTCCCTGGGCTAGGCTTTAGGATTACAGCCCAGAGCCAAAAGGCAAGCCCTTTCCCCCTTCTAAGGTCAGTGACTCGTGTGCAAAAGAAATTGGGTATTTATTTTTCATGGCAAATGTTACCACAGGGGAAGTACAACGTTGGGAACTGTCCTAGAAGCATGTAACAAATTGCTTATCCGTTCTCGGAAATCAGAAAGCTTTCCTGGAAAAGTTAACTTTAATCCCATTTTTGAAGACTAAATAGATGTAGTTGGACTGGTATTCCAGGTGGGGAACCACTTGTACAAAGGCCCCAAAGTGCCGGAGGAACTCAAAAATGGAAAACTTTGGCTAGAATTTATAAAGTTATAAACCAGAGATTTCTGAGCAAAATGGGACACAATTAGATGTGTCCCATTGGTGTGATCAGATTTGCATTAAAGAACAACTCCCTACTCTGAAGAATGGGGAGAAGGGAAAGTGAGTTTGGTATTACTCTTTCCTTTCTGACATTTACATAGTATTTATCGTATGTCAAACAGTCTCTAATTATCCCACTTTCCAGATGAAACTGGGACACAGAGGTTAACTTGTGCAACGTTATACAGGTAATAAGTCAGCCTGAACTCAAAACCAGGTTGACTCCAGAGTTCTTGCTTCACCGCTATGCATTGTCTCTGAAGCTCCTGCTGCAGCAGTCCTAGTGAGAGACGGTGCGGGCTCGGGCCAGGAGGGAATGCAGAGAGGTAGATGGCAGAGGAGGTGGCGGGGAAGGGAAATGGATGAGCAGAATACCAGGACTTCAGTGATTGAGTGGATGGGAAGGGAAGGGCTGAGGATTATCCCAGGTCTGATCCGTGACCCGGTGCTTATTGGTGCTACTTTCTATTTATTGAGGTAGAGAACTTCAAAGGAGCGAGAGGGTTTGTTAAATGGGAGATGGAAAAGGAAAATGAGTTCTAGTAAATGTACTGCAGTCAAGTGCCCCCCACACCTTTTAGAGGCCATAGGAATCCCTCCTCCCCAACCCCTTGCCAGTTACACAAGCTGTCTGACCTTGTGCAGGTTAACCTCTTTGAGCCTCAGTTTCATTCTTTCTAATGGGAATAATAATAAAATCTACCTCATAGGGTCATTTTCAGGGTTAAATGCAATAAAGGTAGTAAAGTGCTTTGCACTGAGTCCAACAATAGTAATGTTCAGTAAATACTATTACATGTAAGAGTTGGTTTACTTGTCTCATCTCAGCTTTATTTTGATGAGGACTGTGCCTTCTTCCTCCCTTTCTCTGCACAGATTGCCCTTCCCTACATTTTCTGCCAGATGACCACCCATTTGTTCTTCAACACCTACCTCAGATTATACCCCCCTCCTCTTTTCTAGAACCAGTTGACCATTCACCTATTAACCATTACGCATATTGCAGCTGTAGCCCTCAATACTTAATTTATTTATATGGCATATTCCAAAACATAGTTAAGGCAGCTCACCATGATAAGAAAACATAGAACAAATCAAAGCAGATACAGGGCAAAAATTAGATCAAGACTAGGAAAAACAAAAAGTTACAAGTGGGTGATCCTCAAAATGCAAGGGATAAAGTCTGGAATATTAAGAAAGTGACTCTTGTTTCTCCAGGAGTCCATACCAAAGGCAGGACCTGGTCCATTCTGTGCTGAGAAGGCAACATTAGAAAGACAAGACAAGCAGCTTTTTCAGATGTAAACACCAGAGGAAAAGCTTATCTTCACAGATAAGATTATTTATCCCCATAAAGAAAAGCCAGTGTCATGTCCATAGCCTGTTTTCGGCATGGAGGGTCATCGGGCTGTTGCTTAGCACATCCCTTACTGGATCAAAGACTGCTAAATCACAATTTAGAAATTCTAAGCCCACAGACCATGTGGTTTAGGTGAATAGCTCTACTGGTCTGCCTTAATTCAGAGCAAGGTTTTTTGCCTGTTTAAGAATATCTGGACCATAGAGGAGAGGACAAACTGTAACTTCTTCAAGCAATCCTCTGTAAACAATGGATTCTAGCAAGGCAAGAATGGAAGCAGGGAGGTAACAAGGAGTATTCCAAGGGAGAGATGGGTGGGCTTGGATTAGGATGATGGCAGTGGAAAAGACTGACAAGCCGATGCCCTTGGCATCTCCATTGTCATGAAGAGTTCTTGGAGGAGGACCAATACCTGTCTCTGAAGCCTAGAGGAGGGCCAGTACCCTCTTAAGGATGTGAGGTGCCTGGTAAGGTGCAGTACCCTCTTACAAGCCTTACATATGTGTTTGCATTCCCAATTAGACTTCTTGGAAGAGAAGCTGCTCTATTTCCTGCTCAAGGACAAGGACACATTGGTTAATTTGAGAAACTGTCCTCCTCAGAGGAAAGGAGAAAAACACTATTGTTATCTAGAGATACTGAACTATAGATACCATCACTGACCTATCATTTTATAGATGGAAAATGGAAGTCCTGTGGTGTTAGTGGCAGACTGTCACATAGCTAGTTGTTGGCAAAGCTATTCTCTCTCCTCTCTTGTTGTTACCCCCACATTTTGGCTAACTGAAAAACAGTTTAGATGTTATCACTGTTAATTTAAACTATGCTCACAGTTTGCATTTTGTATGTGTTAATTTAAATGGTGTTAAACTGTTAGTAGCCTGATAGAAATCATTGCAGAAGTGCTTTTTGCAGCACAGAGAACGTTAGGTAGACATGTGGATATGGCAGAGCAACAGATGGCAGATGAGAAGAGGGGGTGGGGAGTGGGATGTGATGTACATTCCACTTAATAAAGCTTGTTGGTTTTAACAGTTTCTTTTTTAATTTAGGTAAAATTTGTATATAACAGTATATTACTTTCGGTGTACAACATAACAATTGGATATTTATATATATTACAAAATGATCACCACAATAAGTCTACTTACCATAAAGAGTTGGTTTACTTGTCTCATCTCAGCTTTATTTTGATGAGGACTGTGCCTTCTTCCTCCCTTTCTCTGCACAGATTGCCCTTCCCTACATTTTCTGCCAGATGACCACCCATTTGTTCTTCAACACCTACCTCAGATTATACCCCCCTCCTCTTTTCTAGAACCAGTTGACCATTCACCTATTAACCATTACGCATATTGCAGCTGTAGCCCTCAATACTTAATTTATTTATATGGCATATTCCAAAACATAGTTAAGGCAGCTCACCATGATAAGAAAACATAGAACAAATCAAAGCAGATACAGGGCAAAAATTAGATCAAGACTAGGAAAAACAAAAAGTTACAAGTGGGTGATCCTCAAAATGCAAGGGATAAAGTCTGGAATATTAAGAAAGTGACTCTTGTTTCTCCAGGAGTCCATACCAAAGGCAGGACCTGGTCCATTCTGTGCTGAGAAGGCAACATTAGAAAGACAAGACAAGCAGCTTTTTCAGATGTAAACACCAGAGGAAAAGCTTATCTTCACAGATAAGATTATTTATCCCCATAAAGAAAAGCCAGTGTCATGTCCATAGCCTGTTTTCGGCATGGAGGGTCATCGGGCTGTTGCTTAGCACATCCCTTACTGGATCAAAGACTGCTAAATCACAATTTAGAAATTCTAAGCCCACAGACCATGTGGTTTAGGTGAATAGCTCTACTGGTCTGCCTTAATTCAGAGCAAGGTTTTTTGCCTGTTTAAGAATATCTG